AATCATTTCAGACTTTTAATTCGGTCTATGAGATCGTGTCGGGAGAATGAAATATCCTTCGCCGCAATTTATAGTATAACTTTCTAACGTACTTTTTAATTAATAAATCTCCATTGCGCGCGTAAGTAGACTGTGGATATTCACGTTTATTTTTTATTAGTCAGAATAAGAGAAAATTTTAATTTAAGAATTGCGAAATGTCAGATTATATAAGATGTTGCAATCTCAAGTTTCTCTCAGTTTGCTTTCATCGAGTAATCCTTTTTCAAGGATCTTATTATATCGCAATCGATGGAAAGTTGGGCCGAATAATAAAGGGGAAGATATGATCTTGCAAGCCTCTCTCTCACTAACATCAGTTCTTTATTATTTTGCACCGTCGAGCGTGCGGCGGCGGCAAGATAGATTTTTTTCCATTTATTTGTATCGTCCCGCATTATTGAATTCCGATAATCCGCGACGCCGCCGGTGTAAGTCTCTTTACGGTACACCACGATTTACGATCCACCCCTGTCGTATTCCGGCGCCTTTTCTTTCCTTCGATTTTTAGACAGGCTCGTCGAAATTACTGGAGTTCGCTAACCTTTTGCTACTATTGTCGCGACCATTGAAAATTCTTTTACATCGGCCGAATCTTTTAGAATTAATTTTATCTTTTTAACTTTTGATTTCCAAAAATGTTTTAAAAGTGTAAACAAAGAAAATGTGCGACTGAATTATATTAAAATTAAATACGTGAGTTAATCGTGTTTCTTCGATTTGTTTAAAACAATATATATATATTAGAAAGACGCTTTGAATATGTTTGAATTTGAAAGCTTCTTACATTATAATAACTAATTTTCTTAAAATAACGTGAAATAAATATTTTGAAAATCCTTTTATTATTATACCTATATTTTCCGGATCATTAATCATAAGAGGTAAATAATGATTATAAGTGTCACCGCTGCAGACAGCCTGTCGTTCGTTGTTTATTCGTTTTGCAAATTACTTTTAGACAGGCCCCGAAGAACGTGAACCGGTTTTGAAGTTAATTTTGCGTAACTCAGACGCTACCTAATTATTAGAAATGTAATTACCGCGTGTCTGTGTACGCACACTGTAGATTTATCTTAATAGCAAAAGGCAGATAATTATACGAACATCGGCAGGATACAGTTTACCGGCGCGTATCGTGTTAAATGTTATATAATTGCTAGTTACTGATGCGCTAAATTTTCAGGAGTCACGCATCTTTTCTTCTGATAATCAACTACAAGGATTCTCGTTTTTAAAATGCGTTCGCCATAACTCTGAAAAACGATAACTAATTTTTTTCGCACCATATATTCCACATTCTCCGCGATAATATATTCTTTAGCTTTACGCGAGTAGGACAAGGACACGATATATCATGATGCTTGGGAACGATGCGTCGAGAGTATTCATTTTACCAGGCCAGTAAAAAGAACAAGCGCTGTCGCGACTGCTAATTACTGCGGATTAACGTACCCGTCATGCACAAGAAATGATCATAGCATTCCTTCGATGAACGTATCCGATTTTTTGCCGTCATATATTTTTTCGATCGCGTGTACATGCATATTCCAGCCGTTCCAATAAAATGTATACCCGGATTGGTTATTTATATCGATGCTTTTCAAGCCTTTTTTTTTTCGAAAGCTATTTTTCATGTTATATTTTTCTTTGTGTGTATAAAATGCAGTAATACAACTGCATTTGGATATAAAAACTTGGATATAAATTTATTTTTAACAATATTGTTTTCGTACTTTTAATTAAAAAAGATTAATAATTTTAATTAATATAATCAATTGGAATTTGTGGACACAAAAGTGTTTGAAAATGTTGGTAATTTATCGGTTTCGCAAGTTGTCTATTTATGCTTTTTTTACTTCATTTTTTTTATTGCTTACATTGTAAGTTACTATAAAATTATTATATCCTACAACTGACTTTTTTACAGTGACGTAAATGAAGCTTTTAAAACCGCTTGAAATCTAAGGAAACCGACTTTTCGTCTATATTAATCGCCTATTCCAATGTTAAAAGTTTTTTTACTCTGATATAAAATTGACTTTCTGCTGAGATCATTTTATTCCTACTTACATAAGTTTTGTTGAAAAAGAAAAAAAAAAAAAGAAGCAATGTTAGAAAAAATACCTTTGATACACGCGATATATAGATACTGGCGACAATATTTTATATAACGCTATGTTACTTTTATTCGGCATAAACGGAGAAAAGGGTTTTACCAGACGCTGCGCTTTCCCATTCCCATGAAAATTGCACGCGGCTGGGATAGCTAAAGGAATTCTTTGGTCGCCTTGAGGAGAATGTGCAATGACCTTGCGGGCGCGATATTCATTGGAGGAAGTCGCGAATAATCGTGCGGAATTTTAATCGCGGGATAGGCTAGGCCAGGGCTAGACAGTACGTTGAACCTGCCTGCCGTTTGCTGGTAATCATGTCCGTTTCTTTTAAACGACGCTCGATGAAAGCTGATGCGAAAAGATGCGACTACATGAAAATAACGTCAATATCATCGGTTTTGATCATATATTTGCTTTTGAATGATTCTAGAAATATTGAAGAATTTTATTTGTGGAATTAGTTGAGAGGAATTTTAAAAATAACCTATTATTGAGGAATTTTTAAAATAAACTTGATTTATTTTTAAGGTTCCTGCGTATACGGCACATTTTGCAAGATCCTTCTTTCACGAGAATCGATTATTTGTCCATTATTTGGCTAATAACATAGTAAAGATTACATGTGTTTTAGGAAAGAGTATTGTAAAGAATTGATTTACAAGAAGGCATATATATTACAATCTTCGAAATTTTGCTTTTCAACTTGAATTAAAATTGCTTTTTATTTTGATTTCCTTGCCGTCTCGCAATACTGGAATATCTTTTGATCTCGCCAAAGGTTTTTTCATCAATTTTGAGTGCCTCTCACGGCGCTATCAAACTCGATCGAACAGGATGAATGTTATCGTGCGTGCAGGAAATCGCATTGCGATAAGTAACGTTTAGAGTAGTCGATGAAAGCGTTACGATAAAATCTCGGTCGCGGAAAGCACGATTTTCGGATGAGGAGTGTACCCGAACTCTGACGCAGATTCGTTGAACAAAGCTGTCGGGACCAGCCGGCATTCGCGATGCATCTCGTGGGGAGGACAGGTTCGACGTGTTACTTTCATCATAGGGATAGAACACGCCCCGTAATCAGGAACCGATCACTCGAGGAAATTGCCAACTGTGTTTGGGCACCTGAACGTGAATCTCGTTAGCCCACATTCGCTCGTTTCGTTTCCGAAGGGGGCGCGACCCTCCTAGAGAATTCCGTTTCAAGTGGACGACAAAATGGTTCCCTCTTCGACTTCTTTCATCGAATCGGACAAAGAGAACTTGCCTTCGTGTTCTCCTCTCCTGTTCCATTTCCTTTCATCTCTCAAAATCTCGCCATTATTGAACTGTAGCGTTAAAATTATTTTTATATTTATTTGCGACAAGTATAACAACTAAACAAATATTTAAGAAACTCGAGAGAGTAAAAACTATTATACACGTTATTAAAATTAGTAGAGAGAGAAAGAAAGAAAGAAGTCATAAGATGTAAATTATTTTTATTATTATATTCATAATGGAATATTTTATTAGAATATTTTTTTATTACTTTAATATACATATATTTTGCATAAGATTTTATATTACTTTTAATAATTTTCTAGCGCTTTAATAATTATATTATTGAAAAAATTTGATTTAGACAGACATTCTTAATATTTAATTTAATTTATAAAATACTTGTATCTTCGATAAATTGCAGAATCGAACTTCATATGTTAGATTTCGGGTTAATGTGAGAAAGGTTTAATTTTAGAGTGTGACGGCTTAAATGGCTGTGATGTAATTTTTATCTAAAAGCTACATTCTCTCGCGAAATCAAGCGCGAAATAGCGAACGCATTCCCTCGCGTCATTCTGGCGACGAAAGTGCGAAGGAGGGCGATATAACTCCTCACGCGCGTTAATGGAAGCACGAAGTTGCTCGGAGGATTGCCCGCGCCCTACTCGGTGTGTCGTTCTTACTTATTCACGCGATAAGAATTTTTGACAGACGAGGGTTCCGCGGCTTCTCGCGCGTTCCGTCTTGCACGCGCGCGCGAATCCCACCGGAAATAAACATGCCGTGGGCAGTAACGCGTTTACATGAGAAAGGTGGCGCAACGCAGCAATTTGTTCATTCTAAATTATAAATGATGCGCTATAAGATCTGAATTTACTGCCGCACACAGACGAGAGGGTAGGTCGAAAAGGGGCGAGTTGGAACATTGTTGATCATTTTACTCCTCGCGGGAGAGAGATTTCTTATTTCCATTTATCAATATTCATTATTTATATATGTGCAATCATATTGAGACGTGCTCGTAATTTTATTGCAAAGAGAAACTTGTAAATTTTTCATATGATTTACAATGGTATGAGATTTTTCTCGTGTATCTCTCGTCGCGGATTTTATCGACACTTGTTTCGGCGACGATATTCGGGTGGCGTAGCGAGCGAATTAAGCGTGCCACCCCTAAATCGTGGAAGTGATTTCGTCCCCGTGTCGTTCGGCTCTTTAAGGGCGCCGTTAATCACACCGTCCGCTAAAGGTTTGATGAAAATCTTATCTTAAACGAGTAATTAGGCAGTCTCGTGGGGTCCCGGCGAGAGGGTCGGAATCGCGTTTCCACGCCTCCTTTACATTATCGGGATGCACGCGAGGCCGCGTGTCGTTATTTATAATTTTCCTTCTAATTTCGCACGGCGCGTGGCGCGCTAACTGTCGCCGCAATTAGTATCTAATGTCAAGTGCACAAAATTACAGCATGACAGAGAAGATGTCTCGCATATTTGCGCGCGCGTACTTTGCCTTGTCAACGAATAGCTTGAGCCGTTTGATCTTGCGAAAGTGTTCTTTATTCTCGTCACACGATGAAATATTTGATCTTTGGAGGGAAAGTCATCTCTAAGAGATTAATTATTACACACACATCGTGCTTTTAATTATTCTAGATTATTTCAACGCGGCATTTTGGAGAAAATCGGGGATGTAAAATGTATGAATGAAAATGTCAAGATTAAAGTAAAATTAATATATTGATAATAATCGAACATAATGTAAATCTGATACACAATGAAAGAATAGTTCCATCGATCTAAGAATGGTATTACAAAGTTTATTCTTAATATAAATTATTTTTTCTCATATCGTGGTATCTTTACGAAAAGCAGAAGTAATCAAGGCGTATTACCTAGATCGGTTCGTTCTATAGTGGTAACTCGACGAATCGCCGCGAAGCAACGCGTCCGTCTGGAATGATTAACTTTGCATTCGACTAGTCCGCCGGCAATTAGGACGATTGCTTCGCAGTCTGTGCTTACTACGCGAGGCCCGGACCACAATTTCCTCGAAAGCTCTTCCTCGTGCCCAAGAGGACGTTCTTACTTCAGGGCCGGCATAAATGTTCGCGTAGTCGACTTCGGAAAGTCCTATGAATCCAAGATAAAGAAAAAAAAATTTAATATAAAAAGCGTTTATATATAAATATAAAAATATATGTTATATATAAATATATTTTTTTACATCTAATGTGCATTGATAGTTCAACCATTTGAGTTATTTTGATAAACGAAGGGCCCGGGTGTTTTAATGCATTCAGGTGCTCACTTTGAACGCGGCCCTGTCTGGCTTCACTCTGAGAGACACTTAAGTTGTGCCTTCCATTTTCTCCTCCCAGTCGGTTGGGCACATTAGGCTTACGAAGAGGAGTTTGGAGGACCTCGAGGATGATACTCGTCTTCCTCTCGGTAGTTTTTGGTCGAACACGCGTCGTGCCGCATAAAGGCGATGGCTGGAGAAAGATTTCTCTTAAAATGAAATAAATTATAAAATTCTTTAATGGCATTTAATATACATTTTATTATTATTTTTTCTTTTTATTTTTCAAGTTCTTTAATTATACTTTTCTCTGTCACAAGTTAATACTATATTGCTTTGCAGTTTTCGAATTTATTCCGCTGCGTAATTTACTTCATATCTATGTTTTTTTTATCTGGCATTAAATTTACATTTTTCTTCTACGCTTCATATTTTACATCTGTAAATATTAAAAAGAATTGAATCAGGAATGAAGAATATGGTCCGACCTCGACGTTTATATCCAGCATCAGACAATCACAAACAGGAATTCTATTATGTTTGCGTGAGTTTGCTCGCAATCTTGTTAACGCAAGAACAATTTGTATAGCTAAGCCGTTTAATATAATTACATCAGAATTGAAATTGCAACAGTAGTAGTTTGTTTACTTAATCCTCAGATACGCGCAGGGTCGAATTTATTGATTCTTGCAACAAAGTTACATCCAATTAATATGTCGTATAGGTAATATTATTTCCAGATAATCACAGTGGTTTGATGACATTCAATCTGTCTCACTTTTTTTCTCTTTCTGTTATTTTTATGAACACATTACAATCAAATTATTACATCATATATATAATTAGAAGTATTTTGATCACAAAATCGATATATTCGGCTTTGATGAACAAGAGGGAACGTTGCTGTTGTCGTACTCACTGGAATGACGATGAGGCTTCAAATCTTCTTATGAAAGAACAAAGGACGCGGAATGCTAAAACAAAGTACCCGAGGACGATGGAGACGGTCGATGACAAGCGCCTCCTGCCGCGAGGAGCTTCGCATAACTGCGCCAACGACGCAGTGCGATAAATTTCAGGAGGGGCGTCTATTTCCTCTTTCCCCTCGGCCATCCTCTTCCTTAAGACGTACTGCGGGGATGAAACAACCCCGTGCCTCTCTCGCTTTAGTCATGTAGATTCGACCTTTAGCACTGTTGGATCAGACATGTACGGTGTACATGGCAAGAATCCAGCCTCTTAACCTCTTCAGCGACGCATGGCTGATTTATATGGACTGGAAGAGCCGTCTTTCTCTCTCTTTCTCTCTCTTCTACATTAGATTCTCTACAGGATGTACCAAAAGAGCGTGATCCGCTTTTAAGAACAATGAATTTCATTTATTAGTCAAGATACTTGGTTATGCTATCATATTTAGTAAATATTTGCTGTAACTTTTAAAATATATCATAGATAGCATAGTAATAAAGAACTTTAGCATATCGAGCTCAGAATTTATATATAAAATATTATTTGGAAGTAGATAAAAATATTTAATCGCTAAAGATTTTAAATTTATCGAAATATATTTTGTATGAATTTTATATTATATTATAATATATTCAGCGATATTCGAAAATCGTGGGACGGGACGTGATATATAGTCGTGTCTGGTACCGCTGAACGTCGTTGCAATCTTCTTTAGTGGAAGGGACAGAGATTTTTATGGATAGTCACGGTTAGGGGTGGTTCGCCTTGGGCGAGAATCTGTCGTATGAATTTACGTTGATCGTTGTTTTAGTGCATCCCCGTAGGAGAGAAGTCGCCTTTGGCGCGAGAGAAGCTAGTTTTAATTTCTCGCCCTTCGCGCGAGCATGTATATCGGTCGCGATATGTAATCGTGTAATCGGATAAAACGGCAGAATTTATAACACACGTTCTTGGCCGATGTCTGTACACGCTTTTATACTAATTTATTAGCGATAATTTAGAGTCATCGTCATTATTACCGATCGATAAAATATGCAGATAGAGGTAAAATCGTGTTTTGCGACTGAGACAGAAATCTTTTTTTTTTCTTTTTTCCCATAAATTTATCTTATGTATTACAATCGCGAAAGAAGTGAAATTACAAGTGTTCTTGAGCGTTTTGCGGTTTTTCATTTTACGTGCTTCGTGAAGCACAGAGAGAGAAAGAGAGAGCATGAGAGAGCGTCCTTTATATCCAGATTAATTTTTCGATTCTATAATTAAAACCCAGATTGCGGTGAAGCAGAAGCGCTTTGAATGCCATCCCGTTTTTGTTCCCAAACGGAACTTGGGATCATCTTCCCCTCGTTCTCACAAATCAGTGAGTCGCCAACCAAGCGATTCTCTGGATATTAAATTCGAAATAATATAGCAGCATCTTCATCTTATCTCAAAATTTTGATTAGTCTCTGTCTCGTTAATGTTTGTTTCGTTAACGAATATTTTTCCAGTGCTTACTCGAGTAAGAAGACTTATTGAAGTGTTTCGTACTTTAATTATGTAGCTTGAAGACTTCAAAGCTGGAATACTTAAAAGAGTTTATACACACAAAAGACACCGCTATTTTTAAGATTTTAATATAAATTTTATAAGCTCTTATTGCAAAGAATATTAACTTTGTAAACTAATTAGTTTACATTATATCTTTAATTTTAATAATCTTGAATCATTCATTCAAAGTTATGAATCAACATCTCGTGAAAGAAATTAATAATTTGCCATCAAATTTCTCTGTGAACTTGTGTACGTTTGTATAAATTTTATCTGCAATTTAAGAAATTTAAATATGATTTTTATATGTAAAATGAGTGCAATAGAAATAATTGCAGTACTTTATCAGATCTATGATACCGATGGCATTGACATGACTATTGTAATTCGAAACCTCATCGCGTCTCTTTAATACGTTCTAGATTGTAGATGATTATCGATACTGCGCACAGGTAGGGAACATGAAAGCGACAACGTGTCTGTTCGCAATGCGTACGGTTTTAGACTTGACTCTCCTGCCGAATTTCGGATCTCTGAACTCCATCAGCTCACGGATAAACGAAGCCGAGAGTCAACGCACGCGAAAAAAGGGCTTTTCATCTGGCCTACGTCTCCCATTTTAATTCCGCCTATAATCCGCGAGGGGAGCTCGCCCATGGGTAGTTATCTTTTGCGAATCGCGAAGGGCTTTTTTGACAAGGTATACAGCGACTCGTACGTGCTTATTGATTCTCTCGCGATATGCACGAAAAACCTTTCACACATACACACACACACACACACACACATATATATATATATAATACGAATACACGCGTATGTATCGCGTCCTATTCTTATCGACTCCGAACAAAAGGGCAACTGAAAGCTCTACTGTCTCCCTTTTTAACATTATCGATGACAATGTTACAATAGAAGGTGTCTCGTCGATAGCTATCGAAATCTAATCGGACCATTTTATCAAGAAATATAAAGCTTTTTAAGTTCTTTTATTTTTTATAATCTTATCATTTTTGTAAAATATTTTGTTAGCTTGTGCAATATTTCTGCCTTTTAATACGTGAATTTTTGAAAAGCTTTTTCCGTACGCTATGACGCGTATTATTTTACGAGTTTTTTTCGCACGAATGTTTGGTCAGCAATGCTTTGTCCGTTGCGATTGTCAAAAATCGAAAAATGCTTGTTACAGATTTCGATCAAAGCCGTAATTTTTTCATTGCTAAAGCGAACACGCGATGTATCGCCGACTATACATCGACGTTGTACCACCGCGAGTAAATTCACCCTGAGTGATAAATAATTAATGCATCGGGGGAGAATACGTGACGTGGCTGCATCACAAATCTGATAACATACGCGAGAGGCAACAAGATGGGAATGCTAGAAAAAGCGTTTTCTCGTTCATCCGCATTGTTATTTTTTTGGCGAATTATTCACTTCTTGCAGTTGTTACAAAGCTGTGCGCATTTAGAATGACGTCCAATTTGTCGCAATCATTTTTCTTTTTTCTTTGTTATCGCAATTACATAATCGATCTATCACGCGGGTGCAAAGAATAAGAAACTTATTTAATTGGAACAAAATAGAAAGTACTACCGAGAAAAACGTTGTTAAAGTTTTAGAAAGCTGCATTTTTACAAATTCTCTTTATCTTGCATTACTTTGCCGTCGAAATTTACATGAGAAAGTAATATGTTCTTTTCATGTTAGTTACAATTATATATCTAATTATTATTTTCTTTTCCTATTTCAAAGAGCACGAGGCCTTTTATTTTTAATGAGGCTTTCTATTTTAATTTTTCATATATGTACAATATCTAAAAAAGTTTCATTACAAGAAATTGAGACCTGATATAATCTATAAGTTATAACTGTATGTTAATGTCTTAGAATTATTTATTATGTTTTAGATAATGCATACATAACACATACACATTTCCCTCGCAATGAATGCATTGTGTTATATGCGCGGTATCCGCACAATATTTCCGCACCCTGAACGAGACTATCCGAGAAGAAAGGCAATTTCTCTCGCGAGTAGGGTCCCGATAAAATTCTAGGAGCGCCACGAGGCGTGTGTCGTATCAATTGTCAATAATATTAGGGACCGCAATTTCACTCAGGAAGTTCCGTCGGGCGTTGTTCGGCCTCGATATCTGTCTGGTTCCCCTTCTGTTTTTCCCGTGTGATGGCGACCTCCCTTTACTTCAAAGGGGAAAGCGAAGTCAGCCGGAGAAAGGAAAAGTAAGGAGAACGGCGGAGTGTCCGGGTAGCGTCATCGATTATTTTCACGCGAGAAGAAGCACGAGTCGGAGAGGAGGGTCTCTTTGTTCGAATCTCTCCTGAATGCCAGTGGGTCACTTGCATCGACGAAGATGCCGCTACGATTCCCTAGAGGGTGCAGGGGAAAAAAAAAAGAAGAAAGGGTGGTTTCTCGAAGAGACGAGGAAGCTTCGAAGAGAAAAGTCGTATTATCGGTCTTACTTTAATAGCATCCGCTTAGACGCCATATCGGAGAATACGAGCGAACGTTATCGGAAATAATCGTTCGTTTTCGAATTAACAAATCTCCGGCTTTTCGTTAATCCAATTGTCAATTACGTGACCGAATTTTATAACTGCAATTGAATGTTGCAATATTAGAAGCTAAATAAAGAACAATAAATTTGAAGTCTCAAAAATTTTCGATTATGCACGAAGCACAAGTAATCAGATCGAGAACGAGGCTCGAAAAAAGGCTATTATCATCACAAGAGTTCTGGAAATGAAGTCTCGAAGAGACGCCATTGATTATTTTTACGCTGGAGGGAACATCTCGGCTTGGATCTCTTTGTTCGGTCCGTCTTTCTGGTACCGGCAGTGGGTCACTTGCATGGAGAATGACACGAACTGGTACCCCTCGTTGGGGAAGCGAAGAACTTTGAGCGAAAAGTTGTTATCGCTCCGGGCCGCCGCGCACCCTTCCATGTTGAAGAGGATGCTTTCGGGGAATCTTTCGCGAATCCTTTGTTCCGGCTGTAATACATGGACAGTCCTACTAAGTAATCCCTTTGTTTCTGTGAGAGTGATCCCCGATTTTCTATTTTCCATTTAACTTTTTGAGCCTCTGGATCAGCTCTCATCATCCGGAACTGGAACTTATGGCTTTACTAATTTCGTATGATGGAATTACTACAATATTATATTGCTTGTAGGCTTATAAGTTTTTACAAGTTAATACTTGGATTACATTATATATTTAGGCTTTTTTCTCCTATATTATTCAACATTATAGAGTATAAAAGTGCTATTAATATTTTATTTTATTATAATACATTTTATTATAATAAATTTATATATACATGTTATATAATGTTCTATTAAAAAATTTTAAAAATTTATTAATTTTAATAATGTAAAAATTTTTATTTAATTAAATATAATTATAACATAAAGCTTATATTATTTTTACTAAGTAAAAAATAATGGATAGTTATAAGTATTATTTAATTGTGATTAATGAAAAATTAGAAGATCTTAATTGCTGAGGTAATTTTGATAAATTCAGAATTTTTGCAAAAAAATTGGTTAAATAAAACCGTTTCTTTTTTTTTGCTGCTTTATCACACCGCTCGTAAATCGTACGTTTTGTAGACCATCTAACTATTTGAAGTCGGTGGTTCGATGCTTTCAAAGAAAGTAAGGAGGCTCGTTTTGCCAGCTCGCATTTGCGTTAAATGTGAATGCAACGAGTGCACTCTTCGAACGTTTTTAGAACGTTGCTGGGTTCCGTTCCGGGTTAATAGCCTGTGTTAGCTGTATAATATTTTTTGCGAAAGAGCAAGAGGCTTATAAAATATTGTGGCTTTTTCTTAAATAGATTGGATAAAAACGTTCTTGTTGCGTTTGAAAATAAGCATTGTAATAGAAAAAAAAATTTCAATGATGCTAATTACTAATTATATAGAGAATTGAATTCTTATTCATAATTTAATATAATTACAATAAATTCTATAATCTAGTTATAACAATGTAATAAATATTCATTCTTGCTTAAAAATGGATCAATTTTTGATCAGGAATTTTAATATCTTAATTTTATGATTAATTTTTTTTTAAATATATTATTATTACATATTATACTAGATTTTTGAAAAGCAGTACAAGTATAAAGAAAGAGCTTTTTTTTTTGCAAATGTCAATAATTAATCATTGCAATTGTAGAATAAATATAATCTTATGTTTTTGCATAATTGATAAAATACTTAATTGAATTATGTCTGCGTGGTACAATCGCATTCGAATAAGCTTCATCATCTCGAAGGCAATTCCTGTATTTCATCTAACGTATTTCGCGCTCAGTCTTGCTCGATAGGCTTACGAGTCGTAAAATCGCAGGAAGTGTATTGTGTCGTATCAACGTTGCACAATGCCGGGCCCTTTAATCGAAGTCGTAAAAACTTGGAGTGTTTCTCGACGATCTTATGCCCAGATCGCGCACACCATGTGACAACCCGAACAACTCACGACGTACCAATTCAATTTATTTCTTCGACACTGGCGCTGAATCCTCACGGCGAGATGGATGGACGGATAAATGGATGTACGTGGCCCATACAGTTCTCTCGAGCATCCGAGGATGCGTCAAGGACTCCCGCTCTCCTCTCGAATCCTCGAATGCGTTGGTCGAACGAGGCTCGATATTTTTTTTTTCTCTTCTCGTCTCTCTTTCCTTTCGTTTATTTCGTCGTTCGTACATCCTCTTCTTTTTTTCTACTCTCTCCACCGAGCACGATTGTGCCCCTCGAGCGGTCACTCTAGGTACTCGAAGACCTCTTCACAATCTAGAAATATACTTTCAACTTCAGGGAATTTTACAGATGTACAGGACGTCACGTATCGACGAGAACAAAGCCAAGATACTTGGCCTCGGCTTTTGAAATAAGATATGAAAAATTTTTCTCAATCTTTCGAAATCTTTCAGCATTTAGATTAAAAAATAAATGGAAAGTGCGATTATTTGATGTATGATTCTGTTGCTATAAAGCTATCGCTGTTATATTAAAATAACTATATCTTTTTTATTAATTACAAAAAACTAATCATATTAGTGTATTATAATTATGTACAAATTCAATTTTTTTTTTTTGTTATCCTTTTGTATTTTTTTCTTATTTTATTTTTTCTTTTTCGCAAAGCGTAACGATTGATTATTTAGTTAAAATTATAAACGTTTACTGACGTTGTTTTCCAATGGGTACCGTAAAAATGCACATTTCTACTTTTTTGTCATGTCCATTCTTTTGACGCTTTCAGCATTTTTCAGTTTTCTTTTTCGTAGCAATTATTCCGACTACGAACTTTGTGCTTTTTTCACCGCCGTTTTCGTTTCCCTTCTCGGTTCTTTTACCATGTACACTCTCTACTAGCTCAACTTTTGCTTCTGCTTTTAGTTTTAGCAGACTTTCCCAAGACTGCGTTAAGATTCACTGAAGCATCTTTTGGAAGTACCTCGTTTTGTATCCTCTTGTTGCCCCTTTTCCCTGGCTTCTTATGAGAACCTTCAAGGCGCGTTCACCAAAACTTCCGTTTAGCAGTCTTCCATCGCTACGCGCTCTATGCTTTGCCCTTTAGTGCCTTGATCCAGGTAAAACGCGTTTCATCGCCGCGTCCTTTCTCCATCTACTCACCCTTCTTGCTCGTTGCGAAGATCTTTATGGCGCTTCGGAGCTACCGCCTTCGCAGTTTATTCGCTATCGAGATCCATGCCGCTGCATTCTTCGGATTTTCCACCCTCACCGCCGCCTTCGTCGTCGGTCTTTTTACAACCGCAGTATCAGGACTCCGCGTCCTTTTCTCCTCCCGGGGGCTACGGCGAACGTTTCACGGAACTCTTTAACGATCAAGGCTGGCATGGAGGAAGCGGCGAGCTTTGTTGATTTCGCCGACGTTATTACTTTGCGCGCGCATACGAGCCACCAGATGGGAAATTTCGCATTCAAATTATCGTCACTCCCGCGCCCCTGCAGCCCGGAAACGAGATCGGGCGAAGGAATATGATGTTGTTATCGGCTATCGTTTCCGCTCAAGATATCCCGAAATCTTTTTCTCGACGCGATACACGCCAGCGATATTTCCCGTTGAATCTTTGAGTTTAAACTTATAAATTAGAAGCCTCGTAGAATAGTCTGGTGTTTTTTATTTTTACCAAAAAATGTCGAGAAAAATATATATGTATGATTTATATATACATATATGCATAGTCTCTTATGATATATTATAATGTGTTATACACACAAGAAGAAACGTAATTGCATATTATAATATATTTGTTAATAATTTGCTTTTAGATGGAAGACGAGGGCAATCACGGCAACGACGATACCAGATGCTTCATCCTGTCGACATTGGCGGCTTTGCAATGGTCAAGAGTTACGTGCGTTCTTTGTCGCGCTGCCATGTTGGTCTTTGACAGGTACCCGTTGGTGGACGGGACGTTCTTCTTGTCACCCAGACAACATTCGCCCGCTTGTGCTGAGGTACGTGTGTTTTCACCTCCGATTTTCACAAATTTTTTATAAATGCAAAATTTGTTGTTGAAAAAATAAATAGTTTAAAAAAATTATATAAAAATGTTAATAAGCCATTTATTGAGAGATTTTTAGCTATCTTATCAGAAAGAAATTTGATGTTAGATTTTGTTCTCTCTTTTATCAAACGTTTTAATAATATCTTAATTATTAGCAAAATGCTAATCTGATTTGCTAAATATCTTTCTCAAACTTTTCTCGAAAATTTTCTTTATTGTTCTATAGCAGATCAATAGCCAGATACACAGCTATCTATAATGGTAATAAATTTATTTTTTCTACTTTTTGATTATCAATTAATTAATCGATTTCAAATTTAGTTGACATAGAATCTTGCAAGAAATTAAAATCATCGTCAGGCGATTTATTTTTTATCATGTCGTGTTTCTGGGTGCGCGATCTAACCGCAACATGCTGCATATGGTGTAAGATTACGATGGCACGTCCGGTTCTTTGGTTTCAGGTGAAAGTCGAAGGTCGCACACAATTTTTGTCAGCCGTGTGCATGAGTTGTTTGGAGGGCAGCGGCGGGCAGCCTGTACGTTGTCGTTTCTGTACCCAACCGTGGGATGGCTCGAGCCTGGTCCTCGGTACCATGTACAGTTACGATATCTTCGCTGCCATGCCCTGCTGCAGCGAGCGACTCAAGGTAAGTCCCGAATTCGTGACCAGTCGATCCGATCAAACCTTGACCCTTCAACTCACGAGTGTTGATATATCGCTGTGTGCGACGATACGTTCTCTCGTATTCGGTTGTAAAAAATTTTTTAAGACTTTAATAGTGTAATATTTCGTGTTATCTGTAAAATTATAGAGTTAAAACTAAGAGTCGAATTTTTTCTTTTGTTTTGCAAACGTATTTATATTTTTCAATTTGATATTAATGCAGATGAGAGATTATACTGATATTTTTATTTTAATCTTTCTCAAATTCTCTTCATTCATTATTCTAAAGCCATTTAATAAATTCATTTATCTCGCGTAAAATTGTTGAAACGGGATATGCAAATATTTCAAACGTGTGATACAAAATTAAACTATCGAAGTTATCCGATTCTATCGCTGGTTCATAGCCTCCTCGACGTAGATATTTCGCGAAATGAACGCACCGAATCGTTCCGTTTTCGTTTCAGTGCAACAGCTGTCAGAAACCCCTGATCTACCCTCATCAGCGACTAAACTTCTACTCGGACTACAGCCGCGTTTTCGCCTGTCCGCATTGCAGGGCAGTCGACGCACACTTCGTAAAGCCGCTCTCGGCCTGTTTCACCCGCGAGCAATTTCAGCTCTACAGCCAGTGGCCGTAACCATTAGAGAACTTAGCGAACCGCCGCCGTTTGCGCACCGCGGCCGATCTGCGTCCCCTCTTCTACAGATCGATCTCTCTGCTCCGGACGACCGTGCTTTAGAATCCTTCCTTCGATTCCGTAGGAAACTTTTGACAATGGCGAACGCACTGAGGGGCCGCGATCTTTCCTTAGAGCGTTTCGTCGGCCGGATCCACCGATGTATGTATTAATTTGTTAGAGACTTTCATTTCGCTCGATATAGCTTTTTATTTTTTTCTTTTGTAATCCCTTAGGAATTTTTCTTTTAATATAATCAGAACGGGGGGGTGATTATCCAATGGCTGTTCTGGATGAGCTTTTAGGGTTTTTAATTTGTATCTCGCGGTAGCAAACGAGACGGTACGTGCGAGCCCCTTGGCGCGTTCCCGTATCGCTAATGAAGATAAAGATGTTTAAGATGTTTCTTTTTAATATCGATTGTGTAGATTTATCTAGATTGATCTTTTTTTAAACGGGAGACGCCGAATCTCGGCACTCGTCGACATTTCGTTTGGCGAGGTTTGCAAACCTAGTGCATTTTTTCGTATGTCACTCTAAGTTTTTAGGCATTTATCGTGAGATTCGTTGAAATGTGAGTGGCAGTTATTAATTTTTCATTAATATACGCGTTTGACGATTCCCTTTGTGAACGTGTTTCTTTGATATAGATTTTTAATTAACAAATTTTTTTTTGTATTAAAAAATTTTAAAAATTTATTAATTTTAATAATGTAAAAATTTTTATTTAATTAAATATAATTATAACATAAAGCTTATATTATTTTTACTAAGTAAAAAATAATGGATAGTTATAAGTATTATTTAATTGTGATTAATGAAAAATTAGAAGATCTTAATTGCTGAGGTAATTTTGATAAATTCAGAATTTTTGCAAAAAAATTGGTTAAATAAAACCGTTTCTTTTTTTTTGCTGCTTTATCACACCGCTCGTAAATCGTACGTTTTGTAGACCATCTAACTATTTGAAGTCGGTGGTTCGATGCTTTCAAAGAAAGTAAGGAGGCTCGTTTTGCCAGCTCGCATTTGCGTTAAATGTGAATGCAACGAGTGCACTCTTCGAACGTTTTTAGAACGTTGCTGGGTTCCGTTCCGGGTTAATAGCCTGTGTTAGCTGTATAATATTTTTTGCGAAAGAGCAAGAGGCTTATAAAATATTGTGGCTTTTTCTTAAATAGATTGGATAAAAACGTTCTTGTTGCGTTTGAAAATAAGCATTGTAATAGAAAAAAAAAGAGTTATACATAATTTGACTAGCAAAGCAGAATCGTCTTAGCCCATTTCAAAAATGTCGTATAACAATTTCGCCGTCTCCTGTTTTATAGTTGAATTGCTTTAAAGAAAAATTATAATGCAAAAAATAAATTTAGGCGAATATAAACAATATTAGACGCGAAAAAAATAGGTCGATTCCCTTTATTATAAACGTCGTGTATAGAAATAAAAAGGCTATTCTTTCTAGGAAAGATTGAGAGGGAATGAAAAAAGAAATAACTATCGTTTGTTACTTAGATAAATCGAGAACGTTGTTTTTTTTTACATTTTATTAGTTTATACATTTATGGCGGCCATGTTGATTTTGTTTAAGGATCTGTGACTCATTCGATGAGTTTCAACGTTGATTCGATCGGGCGCGCGTCGCGACTTTCCGCGATTCGGGACAGGGAACGTTATCAAAGGACGGACGAAATTTATCGATTCGCTGCGCGCCAGTCGTAAAATAAAGTAAATCATCAGAAGAGGAAACCAATCGTTCGAGACAGACTTCCGCTCTCTCGCTGTGTACACACGATTTTCTCGTCTAGACGAAAGCGAACGCTCCTCGGTCCCGTCGTCAATCACTCGATCGAGTATCGGACGATTCTCGCGGAAAGTCGTGATCGCCCGAAGTAGCCCCAGTGTATATAACATATTAAGTGGGAGAGAAGCAAGTGTTTGAAGAGGAAGAGAACCTTCTTTTTTTCTGGCGATGCTGGTCGTTGCTGTCCAACAATAGCGGCCGTCCCACAAACAGACCGCCCACCGTTCTCAAGGTAGTATAGTCGATCGTGTACCTTTTTTACGTTACTTCGATTTAAAACAAAAAATATACTTAATCCATACGGCCCGGGAGAGAGAAGTATATATAGGAGATAATATAATGCCCCGTGTGTGTGAAGCGTAACGCGAATAATGAAGATGATGATGAAGATCGCGAAGCTGTGCGGCTAGTTTGATTCATCTTTATGTAGAAAATCTGTTGGTTTTTACTATAAATGCATTTAAGAAAATGAAAAAAAAAAAAAAATTATTTTTTTTTTACTTATAAGTTTAATTTATTTGTAAGAGTAACGTGTTTTTAATACAAGCAATACATAGTTCTTTTTTATATCGATACTATTTGAATTATTGAGAGGAGTGTATGTTTTGAAATTTATTTTATCGCATCATGCGACCAATTCCAGACGTACGAAAGTATTTTGTTAAACTTTCAAAAAAAGTTATATTAGATGCTTATTTCTTTTCATATGCAATTTTTAGTTACATATATAATGTTCATAGCGAAAGAAATGTATATGTATTACGTAAAACGACAAAAAGAAGAACACATACTTTCAGATTACATTATTAGTTAGTACAATTTTTTTTTTTTTATTTTAAGATGATACCAAAAAATCATCAATTTCAAGTAGTCGTGCAGTTTCTCTTATGATTCATCGCAAAATCGAAAGTGAGCGAGATGAAGAAATAGGAGGGGAGGGGAGTGAAAAGCGGAAAAAAAAAGAAAAAAAAAGAAAGAAACGTATGCACACAAGAGAACGCGCCTCTATAGGATGTATCGATGCGAAAAGCTTCCTTGGATAGCCAATAACATTAGTGAGATGGACACAGCGCGTTTTCTGAGTGCGAATTAAACTCCCGCGTTATTAATTAATTTCTCGCGCGTTTAGTGCCGGAGACAAGGACGATCGCGTCTGAGTCCTTCTTCTCCGATCATTTCGTCTCGATTGTACGTTTTCTCAGAGTGCCAAATGAGCAATTGCCAAGCAAGCAGCGTTTTTAATATTTTTTTGATCCTCTTTCAAATTTCGTTTGCAATTGATATTTATACTATTGTTCTTTATCCAATTCGCTACTTTTCGGCAACACAGATTAAACGCAGTACGCCTAGTCGATCGACGGCTGAAGGAACTTGAATTTCGTTTTCACGCACGATAAAAATTTCGTTCATCGAAATGTTCTCAAAGTTGCCTTTAAAATATGTGAAATTAAGTCTCGAAAATACTGTATTAAACGCGCGAATTTCCTTTGCCTTTTTGCGCGAAGTTATATCGAAAGATAATTTTCATCCAGTTTTCGATTAATTAGATATATTCGCAAAATATTATCTATAATGCAATATTGATCTTTATGAAGAAAACTAATAATGCATTTGCACATTTTTCAAGATAAATGAAAAATTCTCTGAAATGAATGCGGCAGCCAGTTTTAAGCCGCTTCAAGTTCCTTGTGCGATCGGAAGTGTGTACGAGAAGTTTTCCTTAATATCTTAAGATGCGTGTACGATAGATGCACGCGTCGCCTGTACTCCCTACTGCTTTCAATTTTTAATAAGAATCCACATTAGTCAGCGGTACGCGCTATTATTCGCTCCTCTCGAAGTTCTCTATCGAAAGAAAAAAAAAAGAAAGGAACAGAGAGGATCAATACACGGCTTTAGCGATATTTCAGAAAGTTACTCATAATTATTTATCGCGGCTTTGCATGGATCCACGCGATCAAGACCATTTCACGCGATCGTTGCGTAGACTCGTAATAAAGAAAGAAGGAGCACCTTGTAATTATACGATTATCCTAGATTTTTTTGTTCTTCGCGATTCTTTTTTCTTCCTTTTTGTATCTATTGAATGTAATAGAAAACTTGAGAATATTTGAATTTGAAAATAATTTAAGAATATTGTAGCATATGGAAAAAGTAACATATAACGTTTATTTATTTTAACAGATTTGTTTTGTTTTATGGCTAACGAAAAAAAAAAATAAAATAATGGAAATAAGACAAATAGAGTACATATTTCACGAGGGAAAATAGTGACTTTCTAAATAAATGAATTAAAAAAATTTTGCGGCAACGATCGATTACACGTTGACGTATCAGCGATCGTAGATCAAAGACGAAGTCGGCAATACGCGATATGATTGGAGCATCTTTAGTATTCTCTTTTCTGTCATAATTTCATGCGCAAACACGCAGACGAGAAACCCAGATTGGATTCTTTCGAATCACCAAACTGGTATCGGCGGATTCCCGGAACGTAGAGAAACGACGAGTTTACTTTACGGCAGATACTGTGTACAAGAAAAATCGCCGCGTAGAAGGGAGGGTGAAAAAGGATAACTTTTTCATTATGACGGTGCCGTAGCTGCTTTTTTTCTAAGAGGACAGCAAGTGTCTTTTTATCATCGATCGTGCGTCGACGCACGACGACGCACTTAGCTCCGTAGTTGATAAGGTTAACGTTACACATTAGGCTAATCTTTTTTATTCGGATAATTACTATAGCGATTTTGTACTTTTGCTATTTTCATCGACGGCGTGGGTGGAATCGCGCGACGAGAAGCTACGGAAGTTTCGCTGCTCTAAAGTTGCTGTAAAATCGCTCGATATTTGATCGCCTGACATAATGATCAACGCGAAGATAGAAAGACAAGTACAAGAACTCGAGTTTGGAAACGCATTGCTTTCCGAAGGCTATTAAATATGTAAAAGTAGGATTTACGTGAAGGTTTGGCATTCAGATAAATACATCTCCCAGTGATTTCCAATGTCGAATCTTTTAATAAATCTCGGAAAAAATGACAATCTTTGAAAGAGACATCGCGACCCTTATAGAAGATTAGAGAAAGAGTTTGACACTTATGGGGTTCCTCGTATAATAAGCTCCATATAGAGCACAGCACTGTGATATATCTTAATTGCAGACTGGCCGATACATCATTATGTTAGTTGATGCAGAAATACGATGGAAGAATGAAAAATCTACTAATCAATTTCTATAGTTTAAAATATATAAAAAAAATATATCAAAATAATATATGGATGACAAAAATAAATCGAGAATGAGACCGTTGTTCGACTCCGTTAAAAAAAAAAGTTCTGCATCTTATGGCAAGTTAAAGTTTATAAATCTCAAATATCCTGTATCCAGAAAGCTAGTCATATCCAATATATGGACGGTGTTCCGTAAACGCTTCTAACGCGCCAGCAACTGTTAGTCTGGAACCTCATATGAGTATATTACCAGTGATTTTGAATGTCAAATCTTTCAGAAACCTTTTACATGTGCAGCAATCGAAAGATCGTGCCGACAACTGCATGGCGTCTTATCGAACATTTTGCGCTATCGAGAATATTTTCGCGAGAAATTTCGCTATTATATTAAAAAAATTCTCAGCAGTCAGGCTAATGATAAGCAACAGAGCATCCCCACGTGTCAGCGGAGTATTGAAACGTTCGTGTATTTTTACGCATAAATTTATACACTATTCTCGTCGCGCCGTGTTCGCCGACGTTTAACGTCGATCTAGTGAACGTTTTGTATATCAGTGTTTTTATATGGACGACTAGGGTACCGACGAGGGTGGCGGCGACCTTGTCAACGACTTCACCGCTCGAGCCTCGAGATATCGTCGACCAGA